AAACATTCTGGTGCTCCTAATAGAAGTGAATTTGCATAGTCCATATGCGATGTTACTAATGCTCTAACAACAGCAAGCATCCGTATTAAGATTAGAGCGTATTCTCGAAATAGCTCTCATTTGAAGGTGCATTTTCCGTATGATACTATTGATTTTGGGTTTGACGTAAAGATTTTACCAGACAGTCTCATGATGTTTTTCAAACTCGCCAGACGGTTCGATGACCTTAAATGATGAGACGCTACGTGACAGGTTACAAGGTTTTACACCACGACAGCCTTGTCATAAACAAAACGAATTTCATCTTTAAAATAATGACGCATCAATTTATTTTCCTGCCTATTTCACGGATATCTATATTAATTTTTTAGTAAAAAGAGGAAGAAGGGATTATTTTTCCCAAATTCCTAATTCATCACCCTAGTTTTTAAACTGACAAAACTGAATGGCAGAAGTTAAGATGTGTCATACATATTGATGCATGGTCACACTTTAGATGAACTGGCAGTTTTCCCTTGCGTCATTTATAAATGGAAAAAAAAAGATCAAGCATGGAAAAAAAAAAGATCAAGCACGCTTTCAACTAATATAAAAAATAAACGGCAAGAACATTTAATTTGTGAGAACATCCTTTAGTATCGTGCTTTAGCTGAAACAAAACCCCCTTAGCATCGCGATTTGTCGGGTTTCTTTTTTATTGAACAACATTGTACAATATTATAAACATTAAACGCTAAGAAAAAAAATCAAGATAATAACAAGACAGCTCCACTTTTATCTTCACAATATCAAGATATAATAATATACCTTGACTGCATTAGTCAACCTTTTAAAGCAAATATCGAAAGAATTAAAATCGGAAATAAACCATTGACGTGTATCAAGATATGTGATTGTACGATTTTTGAGATCAATAACCAGCAATATTCAGATAACTTCCGTGATACAACAATTTGTGTCAACACTACTAAGGTATTAGACGTATATAGGAATATTTTGACACTGTAAAGATTCTTCACTGGTTATTTCTACGATATAATTAAGACATTCAGGAAATGAAATAAAATGGGCTTTAACTTCTTACTGTTCTGCTCCGACTGGGATAATGAAGACGGGCATACGCCATACAGTGTGCTACTAGGAGGCAAATTTTGCCCTGACAGCAGCGCTAAGGCCTATTCTTATATGGAATTCCAACTGCCACGGCATCTTTTACGTGCAATCTGTACACGGGACCTCGGTTTTTCGTACCATCAGAACGAATAGACAGCTGTCTTTGATAAGTCTGCGGGCCTGCACCACTGACAAGGGGGAAACCACGCCGGAAAATCCCACCGATGACATAAATTTGTTAGAATTAAAATCCTTTCACAATCGCGATCAAAACTTCCCCAAGGAAAAGATCGATGAAGAACCTTGTTTCCTACTTTTCAACGGAACCACCTTGTCCATGTTTGACTCGTAAATTGTATATTATGATCGGCCTGCTCTTCGTTCATATAATCATCACTCTCAGATTCAAATCCGGAATATTGTAGCCACTAAATTCTACACTCTAACAATGTTATTCAACTAGAAAAATTGATGTTCTCTTTTTCATTTTCTTGATTTGTCAAGATTTGTCGTGCTTAGTACACATATCCAATTCTTCAAACCATGATTCATTGCATTATGTCTTATTTGTTCAATTCAACTCCTGTTTTCAACCAACTTTATGTTTTCTTTTACAATAAAAAACCCTTTAAAATCTCGATTTCTTTTTTACACCACATCCATTACCTATCAAATTTAATTGCACGTATTCACATTAACCAATGATTAAAGAGGTTTGAAGAACGATTTCTGTGATGTCTTAAGATAGTCTTTATAACCCGTTCCTGTCATTGTTTCTGGTAATTGAAGTTCAATGATTCCATGTCAAGATGTTTTTGATCTCAGATTTTGTAAGACAATGATCACACAGTAGTCTTTATTAGCAACCCATTAAAAACATTTAACGATATTTGCTACATTCAAAGTCCCAAACGAAGTAACTGATCTACAAAATTAAAGTTATTCTTGGAAAAAGAGACGAAAATGTCTGGAGAACAAATTGAGATTTTTCCCTTAACATTAATGTGGGAAATAAAATCTATGCTGCTGAATTGCGTATAGTTAACGTACAGTACGGTAGATTGTAATCTTAACCCTTGGTAGGGGATGGGGTCCGTGAGTCATGGAGATAACCAACGCCATCATTAATCACTGACAAGCAATCGACAAACAGAAGGCATATTGATATACGCGTTCTATATTTGTTTTTTTATTTCGACCAGATACAACAGTATGCCTGTTATGCTTGACATACTAGCATTAATTTCGACATGTAGAATATCTGACCTTCATAATCATCTAAATCACAGCTCTATGCAGAAGAAGGGTGTCTTCACATCAATCTTTGATTTGTACAGCAATATCTCAGAAACACAAGCATCCAATCGAAGGTGTATTGACCCTTTGTTACGAGCCATGATGTATGATATAAAGTCAATATCGATACTATTTATACGACAACATCTATCAGCTACAAAAAGTTTTGCAATTGGTTTGTTTTTCAAACCTTAGAATCCCATCTATTGCGAATTATACCATACGCCACAACTTTGTTGATGGTGATACTGGGGACGACAATGGACACGTAGTCATCCTAACTTGTATACAGTTTTGGCAATTGCTAGGACAAGAAGGGTGTCAAACATGCGATCCAGATCCAGATCCGGCCCGCTAAGGGGTTAAATGTGCCCCGTGGAACAAATTTCAACAAACTGAGGGGGTCGATAATTCTTAGAAACTAGCAGTGGAAATCATTTATTATTGTTTTCCGGGTTCAGTAAAACTTCTGTCCTGTATGTCAGAGGTATCTAAGTTGTATTTATTACAAAAGAAAGTTGTGTTCAACATTATATCTTGACAATTTGCAAACCAGTTTTAAAAAAAATCCCTGTGTCCATAAAGTTCAAGGACGTTTGGCTTTATCTTGATATATTTTCGTATATCTCCGATCCACTTGATATAATATTTTAGTCTCATGTGGCCCCTAAATCGAAATGTGTTTGATACCTCAGATTAGTTAAATGAAGCTGTGTTCACAATAGGGGTTTAATCTGAATTGAATTCAGAATAAAGTCTTATTCCGGACTTAGGCGTCACACTCAGTTCGCTAAAATTCGAACTGAATCTGAATTAACGAATCCATATATTTTTCCGAATTCAACCTGGAACAATTATTCCGAATTGGGTTATTCGCAGATCAGCAGTTTTACCGGAAACGATAACTTTACGCGCATGTTCACTTCTACTTCCGATTTATCGTGAGAAATCGTGTATGACATTAAATACTGTGCATAAATTTAAAGTTAATCATATATTAACATTAGCCTCTAGAGCGTCCGACGGGCGACGGCAATATACGACCACATTTCAATGTGATCATATCAAAATCTAAATACAAAGATAGATGTGTTAAGATCACAGCTTACCATTCACGGTCTAGACCTTGGGGTGGGGCAGGCAAGCTTTAGTCGTCTCGAATCTAGTGGAGTCTATCTCTAGCATGTATTGTATATGATTAGTGCTAAAAGGATTTGAATTATGAAATGGGAGCCACTATGTTTCAGTGAGTAAGAAATACATGCATATACGTGTTGATGTATAGCAAACGCTACCAAAAGAGTAATCATCCTCATTCGCATTTGATTTTGGTGCCAACGAAATCGTGCCCGGCGCTGCATGGCAAGGTGCCTAATATGTAGCCTTGCTTGCCCCAGTAAATTAAACATAAGCAACATAAGATCACCAATACGAATGTCTGGCGCATCCATCTTGAATATAAATGACCTTCACTGCGCATTCAGTGTGGCGCTTTTCATTCTGAATTCAATCCGAATAAGCTGTAATGTGACACACCTCTTTTAATCCGGGAAAAACCAATCCGAATTCCGGAGGCCGGTCACCGGAATTCGCATTGAATGCGCATTTAGTGTGAACGCAGCTTGAGAGAATTACTGCGCCACCTTTGCTCTTGTTAAAGGTTACCAAAACCATTTCAGTCCTATACCATCCAAATAAATGTCAATGAATGCATGTACTTAGAATAAAATGGAGATAAACGACCCAAAAACAGTAACTTCTATTTTCGTGTTGTAGATTGCACTTAAATCTTTCTCAATTCGTAAATGACGGAAGATTACCGTTAAGGACTAAGCAATTCAAATCGATTTAAGAAATCAAAAAATAAAGTAGCCCTGTAATAAGATGCACTAAATACGACCGCAGTCGATGAGTTTGATTTTATCAGATGAAATAAGAAAAACATACTGTTGATCAGCAGAATAAAAAGTTCAACAAAATTTCTGGTCTATTAAATTTAATAGAAAATCGCTACTGAATTGTAGACTTATTAATTGTTGCCAAAAATTTGTATAAAACGAGTGACCGTTTATTTGCCATGTCGTTTCGAATTTCTTTATGGAAGAGATTGTCAAATATCGTGCATCCAGAACAGAAAGGTTGTTATCGTCGCCATCTTTTTGTAATAGTTGTTAATGAACTTGTAATTGCCCACAAGATCAGAATTTCAAACTGATACCTTAAGAAAAATATTACATGCCGTTGTTAATGAACTCATGTCGATCACCTCTCCTTGGGCGAACAATCCCAGCTGATTAATATTTTTTATGGTAAAGCAACAATAAAATAACATGTTGATGGTTAATAATCGTCCGTCGACCGCTATAAAATCTACAAATATTACACGGATCTGAAGGTATTAGGATGATAAAAGGTGTTTTTGATGTTAATCTTGGCAATAGATACAAGCACTAGAAGTATTTAATGCTTGATTGATCACCTGGTTATTAGGCATGAAATCAGCATGGTGTTTGAAGCAAGCGATATTTTCACGCCATAATATGCTCGTGTTGAACGACAGGATAAAAGTGTACAGTGGCCAGCCAGTATGTTAGACGCGTACCCATAACGTCGTGTGACTTAGTAAATTATTAACTGACTGCTTTAACGTTGAAGATATTTGTATTATCACAGGTATTAAAAGCCTTAATGTGATTATATGTTCAATTACAAACGGATACCGAGTGTTAAAACTGGACGTTTTTGAGGTAATTTCTTTACAAATTCAACATCAAATATTTACTACAAACATCAATTAAACAATGTGTCAGCTTAGAGAATAAAATAAATGTCTGGTAATCGAAGAAGACTATAGTCCTCATCCGATCACGAACAGCAACGCGTTAAGCACATCTTTGTTATTTCTTCATAATATTCCAAGTGTGCGTTGACAAAAGGAACTGTTACAGATATCAGAAAATCAATATAGGATTTACAAGTAGTAAATAATGTTATTACACCTAACCATAGCTTATAAACAAGTTCATTCATGGATGTTTTAAATTGGATAATAGTTTTTAAGAGGAAGTTAACAAAATTACAGTAAGTTGTAAAGGAAAATTTTCCTATATTACATTTCTCATACATGTTTACTTGTTTTACTCAGGATACTTCTGCGGTATGAAATAGAAATCACCTTGCCTTTTTTTTAAAGAAAAAAGGATATTGTATTTTCATTTGTAGAAAATTGTATGAAAATGGAAAATGACTTCTTATAATGGAGCGTCATGCAAGCGTCTCATATATCAAAATAGCTTTTGGATTTTTTTCATAGAAAAACGATATTTATTTTCCACAAAGGACAAAAAAAATATATGACATCATAATACTAATGTCTCTGTCAAGAATATTTAGATAGTTTTCAAAAATTAATGACAATTTTCAATAAAATGAAAGGCCATTTCAACTATTTTTTTTGTTTTTTTTTTTAAATAAAATTATAATGTAATTATCCAATTTATCAAAGGCTTTATTTTAAATTTCGCAGCTGTCATTGGTTTAAATATTTCTGTGTATAAATTTAATGACCATTCCTAGTGGAATTCAAGTTTTGTAAAACTATATTAATGGTTTCCGGTATTTTCTGGGTTGATTTCCCCTTGTCACTGGTGCAGGTAGTATGACCTGGCAAGGGACACCGCCTGGTCATTTAAATGACATAAAAACTGAGATCGCATGTATATGTCAGCCTGCACGTAAAAGATCCATTGACATTTGGAATAAGAGGAAGCATAATGCCCGCGTTAATTAACTCGGATGGGGCAGTAATTTATAGGACGCTAAACCCCATTTCATTCCACTTAACTTATCGCTTTCCATCACTGGATTTGATTTTTTCATATGGCGAGTTAACTTAAAATTGCTATGGTAACTCGATTTTACCGAATTCTTCCCCAGGTTAGGGTCGATTATGTTTGATTTTCATATGATAGATTTTTCTTCGGCATTCATCAACATTAAGTCAGTAGACCAACTTGATCACGTACATCATATATCAATCAGATCGTGGCAATGCCACACTCGATATATGAGTGTTCCTTCTGTTACAAAATAACAACATCGCGTTTACATCGATTGGTATATCCTTAATTTTACAGTTATAGAAAAAACAGGAGGGGGGGGGGGTAATAGTTACATAAGAAGAAAAAAAATGAACAGTTAGCTGGGTTTTGTTTTTAAAATCAATAAGAAGAAGGGTTGTTTTCCATTTGTGTTCTATTATAATTATTGTTGGTCTTCTCTCTTCCACAGATTGAACTACAATACCAGAAATAGCTCCGGGTACATTGGTTGACTAAAGATTGTCTTGGACTCAGTGAAGTTTAATCCAGAGTATTTATTAACCTTCTAGATCTGGCAAAAATAAGGTCAGTTATAGGTTGATGTATTTGATTGGATTAATGGCTGCTGATATTTTATGATATTATATCCAATAAAAGAAGTACAATCGAGTCGATAACCATATGGATTTGATCAACTAAACAATAATTAGGGTCTCTGATACACAACTTAGCAGTGGCGGGTTTCGCGAAAAAGTTGGGATATGCTTACAATTTTTAAGACATCTGAAAGTGATTTCACTGGAATAAAAAATTAATTGTTTCGGCGGCGGGGGAGGGGGCTAACGCGAAAGCTTTAGACCACAAGGCTTGTCATTACGTTTATTGGTGTGGTTTCGATCCTAAGCTTGTGTTCGTGACAAATAGTAGGAGAGCCTGTCCAGACTCGACGGATTTCTCCGAGCTCTTCGACTTCCTCCCACTGATAAAGTCCCTAACGCACAAATGAATTATTGCGATTACGTTGAATCATGTGTTAGTCCCGAAATGACCTAGTTTATTTTCCCTCAAATCGGCGCAAATCACGATTTCTCTATCTCCCCTCCCTCTTTTAAAAAAAAATCCGTTTGATATTTTCTGTTAGATCAATTTATGTTTTGATTATCAATTTAATCACCCTATTTATTACATTTATTTCTTTCGTGACTAAAAAAGCAGTCTGGTCCTATGTTCACCTCACTCATCATTTAACTATTTTAATGGGCGTTACGCTGCTTCAGCTAGCCACCCAATTTACAAACCCCGTCGATAGTTTCATCCTACTCGCCACCCTTGAGTGCAGAATCGTATTCTGAAGATCAAAACGGTTAGAAATAAATATATTCCCCAGTAATTTAAGCAATCAAACGCCTCTTTCCTGTCGATTTTGAAGACACGTGCGGGAAAAAGAGTCTAGCAATCAGATTACATAAACTCATCCATATATATTTATAAAAAAAGAACAAATTGCACATCGTTTCCCAAGAGGAGACGTCTGACGCTTTTGAGAAATAAATAGCGTGTTGCTTCTACTTCTATTAAGATATAGATAGTTATGGGCGGCAAATAGTCGGTTGATTATGTTTTGTATTTCTAGAACACCGAGTTGATACCACCTAACATTTTTGTTTTAATTAACTGATCTATCAACCAATTAATTGCATTATAAGTGTATTATATATCGTTCGGTATTAGAAGGTATCAATGAATGTCTAGCCAGACTTTACACACTGAATGTAGTCGATCATGATGAATTGTAAGATTGTGAGCAAAAACATTAAGTATCAATCTAGGCAGCGCCAGTTTAGGATCTGTCATTGAGTCAAGTGGTGTGTTTTCGATTTCCCCATTGCACATGACCAGGAGTAAGGTCGCCTGTCCAACGTCGTGGGTTTTCTCTGGGTCCTCCCACTATAAATACCCCTACGCGCAAGCGAATTATTGAGATAAAATTAAACAATATCTTAGTCCCAAAATGCCAGCAAGTTTGAACATTCCACTTCAATTAGAAGCAGAGTTCTTGTGTTCCAAAATGCAATAACAGACGGATGAACTCATTTTGGTAGTCTTCACCTCTCCTCGGCTCTCTTCGAAAGGACAAATATCTTATAAATCTAAAAATAAAAAGATTGATTCCAATGACTGTCGGTAACGTTTGGATTAAAAATTAGTTCAATTTGTACGGTCATATGATCACGGACAGTAGGAAATGAAATGAAATAGGTTTTAACGTTCTACATTTCTGCAGTAACCTAGTTAATGAATCTGGGACCATGTAGGAAGGATGATTAATAACATTAGATCCATAGATCGCAACAGTTATAATTTATATGGATGTTATTTAGCATATACATGTAATATGTTTTATATCTAGGTTTATTCTCTGTGTTTGACAGTTTCAGCCTACAGGGATAATACATTAATCCAGCGGTCCAGGAAATACTTATAATTAATTAAATCCGTTCTGGCCAATATGTGATCAATTTTATGGATGTGTACAACTGTCATTTATTAAACTAACGATAACTATTAGAGTTTATATAAATATATACATTCTGCAGATGACAAGGAATAAAATAAAACCAAGTACGAACAAACCAAAACATTAGACAAAATTCGAGGTCCTAAAAAACGGTTTCAGCAAAATTATGTAATCAGCAGATAGACTGTTCACCATGTACAATATATACTGCATTCATACGGCTGTCGTAGAAAATAAATATCGTTTTTTATTGTGTTATTTTGTACAGGAAAGGGTAAAATGAAATGAAATGAGGTTTAATGTCCTACTTTTCTGCTCCATCGTGGCTAATGAAGGCTGGCATAGCCATGCAGTGGGCTATGAGAAAAAAATTGCACGGACAGCGGCGTATACTCTTATTTCCAATTCTAACAAAGTTCCTTTTTAGGTGCCCGCCAGATTTTTCGTCCCATCCGATCAACTAGATTCTGTTACTTGGCAAGCCCTCCACTCGTCGCCGCTGGCAAGGGGAACCCACCGGAAACAGGAAAATCCCGATGGACCTTCTCGACCAACACCGGGATCGAACTCGTGACCCCCATGTTAGCGAGTGAGTCTGGGAAAGTGTAAGGCGGACCTTGAGTAGAAATTGAATTAATTCTTTATAATCACCTGTTTGTATTGACGAACTTCTAGATAGATATCAATGGTTAAATTGGACATCGGTCGGAATTAAGAGTTGAAAGTAAGGAATGTATGGTATGAAATATGTAAGAGCTGTAGATGACAAGATAAGCCCGTGGGGAATAAACTATACTTCAAACAGGTGTATTAAATATATCATCTTGTCATATTTAATCAATAATTCATAAATTATTAGTTATTTGATCCTAATTTGCTATCTTAAATCAATAACTGAAATCATTTTAGCAAACTAAGGTAAACAATTCCAATAGCTATACTTGTATTTCTGTGCATTAAATATCTGGAAACACAACCATTTCAAATCATTCGCTGCTAACGTATACATTGTTGTTAGTGTGTATTTTTTGCTATAGAGAACCTTGAGAGGCCCAATATAATTTATATATAGCGGAACAAATATTTATTGAATGCTACACCGAAAAACTGAAATTTCTTCCAGTACCACCTGTAGACGGTTTTGGTGATTTGGCTAGATAATTGTTGTGATGGTTATGGATTTTTAGACGCCTCCCGCTATTATTTAGTATTTTGATAATAAAAGGGGTTACAAAATGAATGTGTTATTATAATTACTACATTATTCGCGTGCTATAATAACAGGAATTAAATTCATCTTGTTTTGAAACATTTCGGTCAGCAAACACTTAATAACACTTAGTCATATTTGTGATAAATATACATCGGTTGTTGGCATCTTCAGCTATTATTTATTAGTTATAATAGATATAAGATAAAGCATCTTTACATACACCAATTATCACACATCAAAATATCACAACAATAATCATTTCTTCCGCATCAACAGCCATTATTGTTATGCATCATCAGTCTGTGATACAATTTAATTAACGGCCATTCTTAAAGAAATAAAGTTAACCGTGATTATTAAAATTTCGACAAATATCGGAGTACTTTTGGTTTGACACATATTTATTTACATCTGTGACTCGCGAAAGAGGTTTAACATCCTACTTTTTCGAACTAACCGAGATAACGAGGACTGGCCATGCAGTCTGGTATGGAGGAATCCCGTCTACTCTTCTTCGAACCGCGGGGGGTTGGATGGCCGAATGGTTAGCACGTGCGCGTTGTATCATAAGGCCTGTCATTGAGTCAACTGACGTGGTTTATAATCCCAGGTTGTACGTGACAAGGAGTAGGGTCGCCTGTCCAACCTCGTGCGTTTTCTCCGGGTCCTCCGGTTTCCCCCCACTGCTAAAGATCCCTACGCGCAAGCGAATTAGTGAAATAAAATTAAACCATATGTTAGTCCGGAAATGACCTAGTTTGTGTCGAGTGGGCGTTTAACCCCATTTCTATCTCTTCGAACCTCTGTTTTTCGTTCAACAAAAATGAATAAACACCTTTCTTTGCCAGACTCACCGTCCTGTACCGCTGACAAGGAGAAATCGGGCTGGAAGATCCAGTTAAACTTTCTCGTGTGAAACCGGGTTCGAAGCCGGAACCAGCACCATCACTTACGTATACGATAATAATCACGTTTCCGGTTCATGCGGCGGTGTTTGATGATAACAGAGATTACAAATATATTATTATAAATAACACATTATTTGCCTGCTATAATAACACAGATTACAAATATGTTATTATAATTACTACATTATCCGCGTGCTATAATAACAGGTATTACATTTATCTTATTTTGATACAGTCCGGTCAACAAACGGTTAATAATGATCAAACACAGGGCGTCCTTTTGGTGTTATTTGAGATTCTTATCTTAGTTAAACGGACTCCTAATGATCCATGCTTAGTTACCATTCCATTCCATTCCATTTCTAACCTCTACTAAGCCACCGGGCTAGCTATATTCGCGTTTAAGGTTTCGTGGCGAAGATCCCCGGATTATGCTACTTCGGATTTCAAAGCACGATTCCTGCCTCCAATTTATAATAATTAAAATATAAAACCAAACAGATGTATTGTTATGATTTATACTGCTATTGAGGTGATCGTCTTCCTTTTCTTTTATGGCCGATAAATGAAAAGGGGGTTATTATTAATGTACTACAATAACAATGATTGTTTAACGAGATATTAATCAATTTAGGTTTGATTGGTTTCCTAACAAGCAATTCATTTATGATTGGTTTCTGTACAAAAACAATGTAGATGTTACCATTTATTTACCTGAATCTAAAATAATTAATTATTCATAAGAAAATTATTTGATCAGTATCTGTATAGATATAGGCGCAATTATGAAAATGAATAGGAAACAAAGTGTACTAGATACACTATTGCGGTATAAGCTCTTTGGCATAAATTGATTATTGGTGAACGTAGAAATTACAATTAGTAGAAATGAATTGGTAGGTTGCACTGAGATATCTTGTTATTTGACACAAATTTAAGAAAATAT